AAAGTGTGACTATTTGAAAACAAAAAAGAAGAACCTGATGGATCATTATGAATATCAATCATTGGAAGTTTTAAAGTGTGACTATATGAAAACGATTGAGAAACCTAATGTGAATCATTATGAAAATCAATTTACTGAAGTGTGTCTATATGAAAACAATAGAAAAACTTGATGAATCAATATGAAAATTTATCACTGAAAGCCTTAAAGTAGGACTATATGAAAACGATTAAGAAACCTGATGTGAATCATTATGAAAATCAAGCATTAAAAACCATAAAGTGCGTCGATATGAAAACGACAGAGAGACCTGATGAATCGTTATGAAAATCAATCACTGAAACTCCAAAATGAATCAAAATATCAAAACTTGTCACTGACAACGCCTATATTTAAAAAGGATGGAACAAAAAGGATGAAACATTATATAACCACACTTTGTTGTTAATTTTGCCCAACTCATTACTAAAGTGCTTCCGTAAAAATTATCGAGATTTTTGATGCTCCCATAGACTAGACACATAGTAAATTTTACAATATTCTGGCAGATTCGACCTTACTTTTTTCTTCAGAGTGGATTTTTTTTTTTTACTTTGCAATCCTTTATAATTTCTAAGGACACTAAAACTAGAGCCCATTAGTGTAAGATTCGTTTATATATATATATCTTTATTCAATACCTTATAATCAGTGCTCGATTTGTGAAACCAGGGTTTACGGAACATGTAAAAGAATCTGCAAGTATTGTTATTTACCTTGACTTTATTTAATAATTTTACTTCTATGAAAGGTACTCTGCCGTAAATTGAGGAGCAGAAACTATTTGTAGCGAAATAAACTGCTAAACGCAAAAAATAATGTTTTATTTATTTATTTATTTATTTATTTATTATTATTTTCAATATATATTTCTTAAAATACTCTAATATTAAAGGTATGCATATTTAAGACTGTCGCGGTATTTTTTTCAACCCGAAGATGAAATTCATTGTGAAAAGTTGAGTCTGAACGTTGCTCAGAACCTTAAATTTTTAAAAACATTTAATCTTGACACGCCATTTTAACACAACTTGAACTAAACAGCTTAACACACTGAAAATTTTTATTCTCCAGAGAGCTTTTTATCATTATTTTCTCTTAATTTTTATCTCTACTGGAGTGTCACTTTTATCTTAACCGTTTCTATTTTGATCAACGGAAACGGTATTACCTGAAACTTAAAGATATATGTTTTCAATTATAGAGTATTTTAAGAAGTCTAAAAAAATTAATAATATTACATCAACAAACTATGCTTCATTATTATTATTATTATTGAGTTTTCAGTCTAAGAAGTCTGAAAATTCTCTACAAATCAAGCACTGCTTTGGAGTAAAATAAGAATAAGTTAAAAACCCTCTCTGCAACTGGCAATCTGTTAACCATAATGCTGTGTAAGACTTAAGTAAAACAATATAAGTTAATTTTATTAGCACCAGTTTCAAATTTGTTTCCACGTTCCATGCTAAAAGCTGTGTTTCCACATTTTAACTTATTAAAAATGAACATTAGCTGGTGGGTTTATAAAATTCTAAGTCTGAACATCAATTACTGGAGGGCTGTTACATTGTTCTTAGCTGCAACATTAGTTATAAATGTAAGAATTTATGAATTATGACACAAAAAAAAGATCACTCATTTTTTTGTTGTTGATGAAAATGCTAGAATCATTCACAAAAGTAAATTAAAAACAAACATTTTTATGCTGATTTTTTTAAACGTAGTTTAAATTTTCTTCTTAATATACTAATTCCTCTTTTTATATTTATTTTAGGCTTTAGAAACAAATTTTACTCTTTTTTTGTTAAGAAACAAAGTTTAATATTTTTATGTAACTTAATGAATTACTTATTTGTTAACACTTTGAAAAATAAGTTCTTTATCTTCCGTTTAAGTGTTTTTATTTTCTAAAAGACCTTGGTTGAAATATTTGGGATTTTATAAGCGAAATAGAGGATAGGGGAATTTAGCCAAACTTCTTAAATAAACATTTTTAAACCATAAACGCACGAATTAAGAAAATGTAAGTTTATGTGTGGTTGCAAATATTTTGCTGTAAAAAAAATTATAAAAAAATAAGCATTTCAAAACAATATTTAGAATTCTAACAATAGCTTAATTTTTTTAATTAATACCATCTAAAAGAAGATTGCTTTTTGAGAATATAATAGTAGGGTGAACATGAGAGGTTTAATCCGTATTTTTAAAAAAAGAAAAAAAAATCATTTTTTAAAACGCAATTAAGTTTTTAACTTGGCATTAATTAAGGCAATATTTGCTATCCGATTATTTAGTTATTTATTACTTTATAAAGTACCCTTTTTGTAAGTTATATTTTAAAGGAGTAAAAACTGGGTCAGAATAGTTTTATCATTTATGAGGTGACAGTCATACGGAAGATTAAAACTTATTCAGCGATAATAAGATGATAAAAAATTACTACAGACAATAATTGGGTCTTAAGTAATGAGAAATAATTATTTACGGATCAAAAAAATAATAATTCAGACCAAGATTGGTTAATGAATTTAATTTTCAGTAAACTATCAGAAAACAACCCTTCTTCTTTTCTTTTTTTAATATTTTGGGAATTTTTATTTATTTATTTGAAAAAATTGAAGCGGTTCTCTCTCGGCTACAGAGGTGTTTCTTCTCATTCTTGTCTTGGAAATAGGCGCTTATTTTTGATCGCCTGAAACAAGTCGACTGTTATTTCCAATTTGTATTTTTTTGAAGCAAATGAAGTTTTTAATCAAGTGATAGTGGCTGCTTTAGTGACATTAAAAAGTGACTCTGTTAGATACTATGCTGAAATCATCAGAAAAATAAATGTAAGGTGGGTCAAACCTCCCATGTTTTCCCGGTTTTCGAATCCTTAGGTTTAGTAGGGGAGAAAAAAAAGTTCTTTAGAAATTTTGGATAAAAAAAAATTTTTTTTGTTGGTATAATTTAATTTGCTTATCCCTTCTTCCATCGCAAAAACCTGTGTTTACGGTATTAATTAGCAAAATATGTGAGTGATATGCGAAATTTAACAGTGGAAAGGCATTTTAATACAAACAGTTTCTACACATTTACTTTGAATATATATATATTTTGGACAGGCTGACACAGAGCAACTTTCAGAAATAAATTACGTTTATGATTCGTAAAAAAATTGTAGCATTTGTTGAGTGCATAGTTTGAGTTTAATTTGCATGACTTCAAAATCTTAATAATAATCGTGAAATTACATTTAAGAACGTTAATTTTATAACTCTTAGTGATTGTAGTATAAAAAAGCAAAGAAAACTTATTGAAATGTTTTTATAAATAGGAAATTTTTTTTAGAATATTCACTAAACAGACTTACATAATCATTGAATCATTGACCTGAATTAGCTTTGAACTTTTGCTTATTAGTGCAACGTTATCGTTTAGTTGTTTCAAAGTTACGAATTCTTTTACTGATTATTTTGTTTACTAGAAATTTGGTTCGCTGGAAATTCGGTTAAGGAACTCTAGCAAAATTACATTAAAAAAAAATTAAGAAAAATATTAAATTGCTTAGATAGTCGCTAGTTTTCGTAAATTTATTTTTGAAAATTCAAGCAATTTCAATGGCACAAACATTAACAAGTAATTTACTGAAAATGAAAATTTATTTTAATCACAACAATGAAAGAAAATACTCTAACTTTTATAAGCTGCCTCAAATAGCTATTATCCAAATTTTTAAATTGTTTTTATGCACATCCCAGAGAATGAAAATCTTTTAATTGCACTTCGTAAAAATTTTATGTAAATATAAGAAATTAAACATAAAAATTTTATTATTATTTGATAGAAAAAAAAAACGAAAAAAAAAACGGGGAGGCAATTTAAAATATAACCTGCAAAACCTAAACTAAATTTTCTAATCTATTTTAAAATCATCTATCTAATTTAAATCCTAGTAACGACACACAAATGAAAACCTTAAATTTTTTAAATCAGCTTAGAAAAAAAAAATTTTTTTTTTTTTACTTTTTCCTTAAAATTGTATAAGAAATTTAAAATTTGGATCTAAGAATAAAATTTATAAAATGTTTCTCTGCATAATCATATTACTGCGATACATGATTGAAAGAATTAGTTTTAAGAGCATTTCATTACTTTTCAAAATTAAAAACAATGTAGGACATTTCTTAAACCACATTTTTCATTTTTAAAGTTGCAAATCTTTGCATTTCATTATTGATTTGTTAATAAAAAATTGTAGCATTGAAACACTTACCTAAAATTTTACAATGAATATTTTAAATTTTTCCTAAATTTCTTACAATTTAAATTATTAGGTGCATTTTTTCCTTTTTTTTTAGATCTTTTGTTATTTTGGTGTCTTCCTTAAGGTTCATCATTAAAAGTTGATAGTAGTTAATAAATATGTTAAGATGAATTTATCCTATAATTATGCAAATTTTTAAGTAATTTCATAATTTAAAAAAAAAATAATAATAAAACTATGAATTTTTTTTTGGAACAGTAAGATTGCTAATATATTTTATTAGCAGTATCAAAACAGCTTCTAGGTTCTGATTTACTTAGATATTTGACCAAAAGATGGCAGCACCACAATAATCCAATAAATTACTGAAATCAATAGTTATGACAAAATCACCCAATAAATAAAAAATATTTTTGATTATAAGCAGTAGCAGGGATAAAAAGGGTCTTTTCATTTCAGAGCAATGAAAGGGCAAGCGTGTGTAAGGGCTCCATAACCATAAAATTTCAGAATATTTAAGAATATTATCCCTTTTGAATATGAGGGTCTTTTTGAATCTCTGCAGATTTGGGTGCCGCTACTGTTTATAAAAAGTTAATTTTTTGCTATATCAAAAGACGTTAATAAACAATTTTAAATAATGCCAAATATTATTTGAAAGTTATTTCTATTTTAAGCAAATTGTACCATTATTAAACCAATCAATGAAATTATTTTTATTATAAATTGAAACATATAGATTTTTAAACAAATGATATCTTGAAATATTTAATAACATTGCTTTTGTAAAATATCTGTCTGTAATATTTTGCTCCAGTGAAATTGTATGCAGGTGTTTAACTTGATCTCATATCTTCTGCATGATTTCTCTCTTAAATTCCAACCGTCCATTTGCTATAAACGCTTTTGCACCAAAAAAACAAATTTAATAATATTATTAATAGTTTTAACAATGTACAATTTCTTGTTCGACATGCTAGTTTACATTCATATAACATTATGTCAACGTCACGACTCAGCAAGTTTGAGTTCTGTGTCCATAGTTTTTTTCTCCGGGGTTTTCTGCACTAAATGCACGGTTATCTGGCTGACGTACCTCTTCTGGTCGTCACCACAGGACGCCGTGCCTGACTCGCTTTTGTTACCGGATCGAGCCGGCTTTTCCCGGATCGCCATCTGGTAGGCCACTTCAAATGCTTGCCCCAAAGTTAAAATTATTTCAGTTGCCATGTCCTGAAAATGGAACAAAAGTCTGAAAAACTCATCAAAAAATTATGAAAAATTGTGAGCCGAAATTGCTCTTATACTACTTGTTGATTAAGAAACCATATATAACAAGTGTACCAGGAAAAAATTATTTTCATTGGTCTATTATTTTAATTTTTTTATATTCTCATCATTCTATTCCATATTCTATCGAGATCTATAAAGAGCTCCATTTATGTATGCTTTTAGAATCCTTGTAAGAAATAGAGACAGAAAAGTAAACCAGAAGTGGGAAATATTTAAGCGAGGAAAAAATAAAAATACTATTGAAATCTGACAAAGCACTATTAAGGAAGTAGGGTGAACCAAAATCAGTTTTATTGCTGGTAGAAACAGGAGTGAGGATGAGTGCGGTTGTTGGAAAAACACCTTTTCAAACAGGACAATCAAACAGGTTTAATTTTCAGTCATTTATCGATATTATTTTTTATTTTTCCTCTCTTAGATATAATTCTTTGACAAAGATTCTAAATTCATATTATAATGATGTTTCTTTATACAACACCCTGAATATGTTATATTAAGTATGTAAACAAATATTATGGACGAAAATAAATGCAAATTGGAAATTTAGAAATGTATGGCTTTTTTGATGCTATGAGTAGCAATTATCATATGTTTTTTTTCTTTTTTTTTTAAATAAGCAAACAAAGATATTTTGTTACATTTATAACTGTAATAATAGTTCAATAAAACCAAAAAGAAATCAATCCTTTTTGTGAATTCTTAACTTAAACTTTAACTTAACTTAACCAAACCTATCTTAACTTAAACTTTAAACGTGAAAGTAACCAATATAACGAGGTTCTGGTGGACTTTTCGTAGGATCAATACCACAATTACTTGGAAACCTTTATTATTAGAGTTAAAACAGATAATTAACATCATTATCCTTTTAGTCTTTGCCACTATGGATACTATGGCATGCTCATTAGATAATCATTTCTTTTGAGATTTTCTGTATCTCATAAAATTAACAGCTTACTTTTAATCACGGACAATTTACAAAATAAAATTTTAGTCATGTACCTGTTAAAATAAATTTTTTCTTACTGTTAATAAAAAAATAATAAAAATAATAAATAATTTTCAAAACCTATTTTCTGCACAGAAATATCTGTGGGTAAAGGAATTTTATAATTATGTGCTTAATTTAGTGAATTCGCTTAGAATATTACCGATAAATGACGGAACACGCAAAAAATAAAATTAATATTAAGGGGTCCAAACTTTGGACCACTGACCAAAGTATTAGAAACATATTTTCCAGAATCCATCCAAGAAAAGGTATGTGTATTCAGAGTATTCAGAGAAAGTGCGTTTTTGTGTCTGATTTCGTAGCTTAAAATATCATCTGCACTAACTAACTATCATATTTGACGTCACTCCTTTAAACCATTAATATTTATTCCTAGAGCGAAAATCTGATTACTAGATCCAAAATTGTTTCGTGTTTCCCTTCTTTTTTCTTTGCACCAAAGCTGCAATTCTTGGAGGGTTACGCATTTTAATTATTAAAATTTTAAAAAAAAATACCTTTGAAGATTTAATCTATTCCAGATTTTTATTTACCCTGATAACACATTGATTGATATTTTAGTTATACTACTTGCTATGTTGTAATTACGGTTACTACTATGTTAACCAATTGGAAACAAATGTGCTGCTGGGAAAATTATGTATTTCCAAAGTCGTAATTCTTGGACTGTTCCGCATTTTATAAATTACTGAAATAAAATAAACCTTTTAGGATTCAATTTATTTAAAATTTTTACTTACATTTTCTCTAAGTTAGTAAATATTTTGGTTATATTTGTTTAATTGTCATTGCGGGGTTTCTTCCGTGTGCATCAATGAGATAAAGAGTGCACAACTAGAAAAATTCTATGTACTCAAAGCCGCAACTCTAAGACAGGTTCCATATTCTATGTTGTTGTTGTTTCTAATGCCATTTGCCACACGGGCAAGCCTGCTTGCTGAAACCGAGCAAATTTAAGGCAGAGTGTGCGTTTCTTGTTTTTCAGTGACGCCATCTATGGTTAAGAATTTGACTTCTGCCACACCATACGTCGCACCCGTTTATAGGGCGGACCCATACATACATCCATTCATTCATATACAGATTGTAATTTTGATTTGAATCAGAGAGCAATCGATCTCCAATCCAGTACGACCAGAGGTTTCGATTTGTTATGGGAACATGGAGGACTTTTGCAACTCGACAGATTTAGCGTGCATCAGTCACTTTACAACGCGGGGAGTCTTCGGCCGGCGGGGTTCGAACCCACGAATTCTGCCCAGCGCCCAACCGACCAGGCTATCCCGGCAGCCCATATTCCATAAATTATTGAAGTTAAATAAAACTTTTAAAATTCTATTATTAAAAATGCTTCCGCTCTCAGAAATGGAATACTCACTTTTGACAATTCAGTAATCCTTGAGTTTATTTCATCAGAAATCACGTGATTTTGGACAAAACGGGATTTTTCAAATATATCTCAAAAATGTTTCCTCAACTTGAAATCTCACCGTAGTGCATTGTGGGAGATAGTTTTCTAGAATGACGAATCTAGGAGGAAGACTAAACGATCAAAACTGAAGTGCCTAAAAAAGCCTACTAGTCTGTATAGAGGTCAATGAGCTGGCCTCGTACCACAAAGATCCAGGGTTCGAATCTTACTTCGGATAAAACTGTAATTTATCTCTCTGTTCTATTTGTCTTTCATGCGTTACTAAGGTGACATTGACCCGGCTATAGTGTGCCTACAATAATTCTTTTCTTTGGGGGGGGGGAAATGAAAATAGATTGATGAAATATTTCGTAACTAGTGACGAAATTTGTTTCCTCGAAAAAGTGACGATAGTTATTGACATCTTCTGGAAATTTGAGTATTCATTTCTCACACAGGGTTAGATTGACACGAAGTGAATATTTTTTGCAACGTCTTAACAATACGATTAAAATATTAAATGTTAAAGTATTAAATAAAAAATATTAAGCTATTTTGATAAAAAAAATATATAGTAGATTCCCGTAAATGCGACAATCTGATTGGGAGAGCCTAGGTGGCTCAAAAGATACAGCACTTGCCTCCCAATGAATTGATCCTGTTTCGATTCCCAGCGATGGCTGGATGAAACAAATTCTGCACCCAGCTCGCACCTACCGCAGTACTGACGTAATATATGTTTAGTGGTAGACGAATCATGGATTAGAGTCCCCTTGTCTTCATGTTAACCATGGGAGGTTTTCGTCTCCATGAAACGCATATGCGGGTTAGTACCATCAGAAAGTCCTCCACGAAGGCAAATTTCTCTTAATTCTTAATCCTGGAGTTCCCCTGTCTTCTTCATTGGGTTCAAAATTAAAAGGCTACTGAGTTGAACATTAGTAGTCGTAAAGTCAAAAATTGGGTCAGCTGTTCAATGACGTTTATGAAATAAAACTGAGTAAGACTTACCAAGTTCTGGGCACAAAATACGTGACAATAATGATTGGCAGTTTGATGTTCTTTTGTGATGTAAGCAAAGTGATTGTAATCGTCTGCGTCTTGACAAGCACAATGAATATTACGTATCTCGTGTTCACACACCAATTTCTGAAAAACACAAAAAACACATAAAACACAAAAAAAATCACATTAGTAGTTTAATAAATGCAAAAAGTCCTCAGCATAGATTTAAAAAACCCTTTTATTTTTAACTTCTTTCAGTAATCGAAAAATTAAGATTCCATTCTAAATTTTGTTTTAAACTGTAATACTATTCACATTGTTTGATAGTCAAATTTATTCAAATATACACAAAAATAAAGAGAGCTTTTTTTGCAAAAATTTTTTATTTATTTTTTTAACAAGTAAGTTAAATTATATAGTAAATTATATAGTTTAAAGTTTGTAAAACACAGCCATCATTTTAGTTTCACTAAAGAATAAATCTCACATATTTTTTCTATTAAACCAGTAAATGCCTATAACTTAAAACAGGATTTTTCTCCCGGTTTTTCCCTAACGACTCGATTAACATTTTAAATATTTTTTTCCATTTTTTAAAATTATCCCTGTGACAGAATTATGCGTTTAAGCCGTTATTATTAATCTATTTTTAAATTTAAAAATGATAAAAATGGTTTACTAATGGCTAACTAAATAAAAAAGATATTTTTTTTTCTTAAAATTTTTTTGTAAACCTACTAAAAAAATGCTTATAAAAGGTTTGAATTTGAAAATATGAAAAGAAAAAAAATCTTGCGGAACGTTATAGAGAATGAAATTTCATATAATATATAGCTAAAACGAAAATTTAAATCAAAGACAGCATTGTTCCTGATGTGCTTTAATGGCGCTACGCGCTGATCTGTTAACACATTTTTTTTTTTAAAAGAACAATTTTCTCTGAATTTATATTGCCGATAATCAGTTAATTATCAGCTCAAGTATGTATAATTCAAATAAATTTTAATATGAAAACCGAAGATTAAGGTATTGACTTGAACCATAAGAGGAACTATCTGAATCGAAGATTTGAGAGATAATGCGTGACAGTTTATCTTTTAGAGAGCTAATACGTGACAGTTTTTCTCTCAGAGAGCTAATACGTGACAGCTTATAAGAAGACAGTTTAACTTTTTAAATCCAAACCTACTCTCTACCCAACCAAAATCCTCTCGTTAATTACAATTAATTAATTCTCGTTAAGGTAATTAATTTTCCTAATTTGAGCCATGACATTGAAAATAAATTATTGCAACCTTAATTTTTTTAGTGGATATTAAATTTACGGAATATAAAATTTAATTGTAATTTTATTTTTACTGAAGAAGCGAAATAGACTATGGTCTTGTCGCACAAAAGTTAACGCAAACCAACTCAGTTTAAAATAATTCTTCAATATATCGAAAAACGAAATGTTTTTGATGAATATAATTACCTAAAGAAAAGTTAAGGTCACGATTATCTCTTAATTATTTTTATTTTCTTTCCTTATGTGAAAGAAANGGTCTTAGGAAGGGAAAGAGGGTACAAAATTTATTCATTAATTATTAGGCAGGGAACGTTTATCAAAGTGAGCACGAAATCGTTGTGCTTCTCGATATATGTTAGGGAAAATCTTGCAAAGTAAATCCGTAAAATGCTTCGTTTTAGGGGATAAGGGAAATATTAGTTATTACAATTGATTTATTGAATAGGTCACGCGATTCCCAAAAAGAGCAAAGGGGAAAATGTCTTACTTTTATTTAATACATACTTGAGTCAAAAATAGATTAAAGGACAGGCTGTGAATTTAAAAGCGTGAGAAAGAGTTTCGATTAGAATAATAAAAGAAAAGAAAAGGATTTACAGAAAAGGAATAGCAAAAAAAGATCAATTCAAGCTCTTTATGATACATATATATAAAATAAAATAAAAATTAATTGGAAGGAAAAAAATTAGTAGTAACTGAAATCACATAATATTAAGACTAACTTACTTTAGCTTGTGCGTCTATAAATTTAACACCGGTATAAGATATAGATAAAATAACATTGGGAACTTTGTTCATATTTCTCGTTGAGCTTTTTAATTTCTGTATAGATTTTCTGGTAGATTCAAGACCACGCACTTCCTTCACCAAAGTTGATCCTAAATACTAAAAACATACAGACAGAATTATTATATAAATTAAATCTCTTTGCAATGTTCTATAAATAGTTTTAAAAAATGCTTAAACTTCATTTGAAATTGAGTCCACGAAAATCTTTTTAGATTCAGAACAATTCAATGTACGCAAACCTATGTACTCAAACCTTAGAGGCATAGGTATGATGGAACATTGTGACAGTTGTGGAATGACATGAAATAAAAATTAAAATTATAAGAAACCACATGAGAGAATTTGAAAAGTAATTACAGATATTTCGATTTAGTTAATGGAAATCATTATATGTTTCATATATTGTCAATGGCTATGGATTGCGCAGAAAATAGCAAAATTTTTACAAAATACATGGAACTGTTTTTGAAGAGTAGTGCTCGCAGAACCACTGCATTTTATTTTTTTTCAGTGACAAATGAGCAACAATAATGAAAATTAATTATAAAAAATTCCTTGAGTGCCCTGCATTCTACTGTCTAGTTTTAACTGAACAGAATGACGTCAACTATGCAAAGGAGGCCAAGTGTTTTTTCCCCTTGATATAGCTTAATTAATAATACTATATTTATTACACAGTTTTTAAAAAAAAAATACCAGTATTCTATTTATGCCATTTTTAGAAGCTTTTTGAAATAATTTGTAAAACAAATACCAAAGACTTGAACATAGTGTAAATTTTTTTCATAATCTTAAACCCTTCAAAATATAAAAATGAAAGTCTCTAGTTTCGACTTTACCTTTCACTATTTATTTAAGTTCCATAATTTTTTATTGCATTGCCTATTGATTCCAGGTAGTAATTTATCTAATTACATCTATTTTCTTGAAAGAAAAAGAAAAGTGTTGTAGAAGTACGACTGAGACACTATTTTTTTTGTTCTCTCAGGTAAGTTGCGCATGTTGCGTCATGCAAGCTACGTTTTCCTGATAGTGAAATGAATTATATAACAACTGTAGGGCCGGGATAGCGTGGTTGGGAGGGCACTGGATATATGTCCAAGAGTTCATGGGTTCGATCCCCGCAGGCCGAAGATTCCCCGTGTAGTAAATGGTGACTGATGCACGTTAAACCTGTCGAGTAGCAAAGCCTCCATGTTCACATAACAAATCAATACCTCTGGGGGTACTGATCCAGGAGTTTCCTTGCCTTCTCGGTTGGTTCAAAATTACAAAGCTACGGAGTTAAACATTAGTAGTCGTAAATTGGGTCTGCTGTTCAACGACGGATGTAATATATAACAACTGTGCAAATGTCGGAGAAGGCGGTATTGTTAGTTCCTTTTTCTCGTATACTATGTGTACATGATGTCTACTTTGCAATTTATGTTTTAATAAAATTTTATTTGACAGCAACTGTCTTTGTCGTCCTTAAGTTCAACAAACAACAAAAAGAAAGTTTTAAAATATTAAATAATACTCATTTTAAATTTTAAAAAAAGTAAAAAATAATAAAATAAGTTTATACAATTCCTTAACAAATTTACTAATGGAATACAATACTGCATTCGCATCCATGAATTTACAACCCTCCCTATACTGAAACCGGCATCAAGGTTATTAGTGTGTATTTAACACCTATTCTGTCAAGATGGTACTTTAGTTGATGTGATAAGTTACCTTTGCAGTGTAATTACAACTGCCCTTCACGAGGACGTCCGGTTGATGTTTCCACTGAGTAGTATTGAAGGGAAGATCCTGCAAAATTTGTTGGGGGGAAGTGTCTCTCATGAGTTGAGTGGGTGGACGAATCTTCAGAGCGGACACGGAGGGAGGAGATTCTGTCCTTGAGAGTGACCCATTTGATGCAAAGCTTCGAATACTTGTGTCACCTCTCATGATGTCCACTGTCCTGGATTCGTCTCCAGATGATGATGGCTCGTCTGTGGTGGACAACCCACTCTTACTCCCCAATGTCCAGTCCTGTGAGGGAGAAAAACACAAGGCTTCTAATATCTTGTCATTAAAATGCAACTCTGGAAAATTGATAGTTGTGGCAAGTGACATCCCTGCTATTTTTTCTAACCATCAAATCATCAAATGTTTCCTGCTACTAATGGATCAGTTTTGAGTAATTTAACAAGTCGGTTTAAAGTGGTTATAAAAGTGTTTCCTATAATAGTTAAAAAGGACACTACTTTTAAGGCTAACTATTGTAACTCTTCATATCCTCCAAATCTTAATTGCTTAATCTTAATGGTAGTTGGTTTTAACATAACGTTATGAAAAATTTATTCTGGAACTCATTGATTTCTTATTTGATCGATTTTTTAAATAAAAATACTTGATTTGTCCATTTTGACCATAAGTAATCCTATGACGAAGAAAGAAATCGTGCGGTTGTCTAGAATAACGAAACAGTAGTTCACTATTAAACTTGGTTCAGAAAGAAATTCTTTATTTCGTTTAAGAACATTTTTAACCACCTTGCACAATGCTAGAAATTTTGGTACCTGCTGAACCATGATATCGTTCAAATTTGTTGCAACATTAATATGGTGTTAGGGTGAACCATATCATCATACTTCTTAAACTCGATTACATGATACTATGTTTTATTTCAAACGGAAGTTTGCTTCAATGTAAGACCTTATTAAGGTTGTGACAAATTCGCGTTATATTATGGTCAAAGGTACTACTACATATTTAAAACACTAGGGTTCAATAATTAAGCTTTTTTTTTCTAAAAGTACATGCAACGTTGAAGATTTTATTTATTTAAACCATAATAATTAAATAAAAGTCAACATTGACTTCTGAACGGCAGCAAAGATTATTTAAATCAGTGTAGAGTTTTTCTGACTATGATATAAAGCTAAAGCACGTTATTCAAATTTTCTAGAAGTTTGAGAACTGAATTTCATGTTAATCATGCAATAAAATGTTGTTGCTTAGCTTGAAAGAATGTGCAAAACATAATCATTACCACTTAAAATTCGTAACAAATTTTGTTGTGTTATGAGCATTCTACAAATCTTATGAGCTATGTGGTTTTCTAATTTTCAGGCGACGTATTCTATTTCTTCTTTCGGATGACATATAAAACGATGTATATTAATGATTACGCATATTGAAAACCAAAACACTTTTTACCATTTTTGCAAGACTAAAATCCTTCAATTCTTCAAAAAATCGACTTGTTGGCTTCTCTCCTAATGACGTTAATATTCTTTTTCGATGACCAGGTTTCGTGATATCAAGTACCTTTTGAGAAAAAAAAATGAAAATGGAAATACATTAAAGCAGATCAGGTCTAATTAAACTAATGAAATTAAAAATAATAAACATTATATATATATATATATATATAGATAGATAGATAGATATATGTATATAAAGTAGGCTATTCGATCAACTTTTCCCTATTATTTTATTTAATCATTCCTCTTTATTTTTCTTGGGAAATTTTTGAACCTGTACAAATTGTTTTCAAACACAATCTATGAAATTCATATTTTTGAAATGTTATAATGTACTTAAAATTCAGAGAGAATGAAAAAAATTTGAATATTTTTTTTAAAATTACTATTAAAATCAATCGATATAAATTAGAAATAATGCAAGATTTTTCATAAAATTAAAAATTACCTCAGTGGAAAAAAATAAATGGTTAAAAGTTTTATTAACATTGCAACTATACATGTTTGAACAACTGACAAGTCTATAAACTGGTATACATGACAAAACGCTACTTTATAATCAATTATAAAATATAGTTATGCATTATTCTAACTTATAAATCAATCTAACTCATAAACCAACAGTTATAAAAAGTGTGTTAACATTTTGATTTTAATATTACTTCTGTTACCCTTTTACAATTAAAATGTTACTTAACCATTTCAATTATTCCATTACCTATATTAGATGCCAAAATTAGTATATTAGTGACCTATTATCACAACTTACAACACCTACTACCAGCCAATTACCGCAGTCAGCCAATGACCGCAATTAATTACACATCACTAGTGTTAATAATAGTTAGGTTAGGGGATTTTTCTATGACTGGCTTAAAGGAATAAATATCATCTATTCATCTAACTTAGTGATTGATACGCAACTTTATAGCCAATTATAAAATGCAGCATTAACAGCGTCAACAAACGCACATGAAACTTTAAAACTTATTAGCGAAAGCTTTTCTTTTATTTTTTTGACAAAAATCACAAATGTTTTCAAGAAATAATTATGAGTTTATTTCATTTCAAATTGAGGAGCAACAAAACATTGGTAAATTAATTATGTTGGACGATGTGTCACGCATTTTGAAGTATGTTTCGACACTTGAGAAGTCAGAACTCTTCTGTAGAAAATTACCTTTCCAAATAACCTTTGAAATAAAAACAATTATCTACACATTTTTTCTTCATTTCAAAATGTTAGCTTTGGAGAAAGTTGCCATATTCCAGTTTTGAATAATTCTTTGCTTGCAAACGTGATGCGAAGCAGTCTTGAAATTCGAAATCTTTTCTTTTTTCCCACTCGAATCCATCATAGAATGCAATGTTCTAAAAGAAATCCGAGCGTCGAAAAACAGAGCTCTCGCGAAATCCACTTGAACGACTCCATCGACGAAAATATCGCGTGCTTCAGAAACGACAACCTTTTGATTCTTCAATGACCCATGAATCTGCGAGCCAAAAGTCTATAAAATTTCTGCATCCTCTCAGTCCGGTAATTAACCCTCGGCAAAGAGGAGGAGTTGCTTTTAATTCGAAATGCAGCACGCTTGTCAAAACAGAAGCCAGCCTAAAGTGTCAGAGTGTGCTTGGTTGGACCAAATAATTAAGTCATTGTAACAGCTTGCTTAGATCCAATACTTTTGCTGTCCCTGGAGCGAAAAGAAAATAATGTTGATATACTAATTAAAATCAGCGAGATTAAGGATTTTCTATTAAGATCTGGTTAGCCCAAGCATTGAAATGTTGGGAGCAATTATATGAGTTTTTAAGCGCTCTTCAACCTCTGCGCATTCTTCAACAACAAAAAAAATTCCATTCAGCTTTTCTAAGATTCGATGAAGAGGGGTGCATTATGTAGCGAAATTAAAATACCGTCGACTCTGGTATGGCCGCAATTATCTTAGTGTCTACGCAATTAACAATTAATTAACAAGGGTAATGAAGCATGCTGGCCAATTACCGAAAGCTCGCTATTAATCAAGATCCCCTCTTGCCCCTTTACCCCACCTGTATGGACCAATGAGCGCGTAGGCAAATGATCTGCCGGAGGGCGATTTAGTCGCAGGACGTCAACGCCAATCATTAACTAGATTGATGCATTTAGTTTTGAGTTAAGGATTGCCAAATCAACCGGAAAACAACCAGTTTGTAAAGAATGACTTTCGTTTAAATGGGGAGGTAGCGATTAAGGTTTTAGAGAGTCAAGATGATAAAAAAAAAAAAAAGAGAGAGAAAAATTCATTCTAACTCGCTCCCAGGATAAAGAATAAATTAGCAGAGAATATTCTAAAGACTAATATGTTTAACTGGAGAAAAAAATCAGCTCTTTCCATCTGGTATTTTACTGAACTAAATATCAGTGAACATTCGCTAATGATCGTTAGATATTTTTCGCTCGTAATAAAGAGAAAGAAAAGTCACTCTTATTTTGGTTGTTTAGTTTATGCAAAAGTGGTGTTTGTTATTATAAAAGCTGAAAAATGAATACTTTATTCATTTATTTTTTTAATGTTTCTAATTTACCTGTTTTCGAAGTATTGCTCTAGGTGCGCAAAAAAGGAAGTAACTTTTGTTTCAGGAAATATTCTTTTAATTTAATTATTTACTTAACTCGCTGCAAAAACTTGAATTCAACAGGTTTTTTTGATACCCCAACTCCTAAAAATCTCCAATGACTTATATGAGTTAAAGTTAAAGTGGTGTGAGTCTTATTTACTTTTACCTCAATTCTTTTCCCCTGATATAATAAGTTTTCGTAACAGATGGAGTCGAACTAACGTTACGTACATGACATATTTAACTCTGTTTTATGCATGAAGACGTCATTCTAATCCTGCCTATTAAAGATATTTTTAATAAAATGGGAAGAGATATGATCTGTTTATTTTTTCGAAACTAAGAGAAAAGCACTGCAATAAATTGGGTAACTCAAATGTTGTAATCTGACAAAAATCAAATTAAATTTGCAAGATGACTTAAACAATAAAATGATTAGCACCACAATAATTTTACTTCCTGCACCTACAATATGTAATAAAAGAACTATAAAGATTCACATAATAAAGATTCTCATAATAGAGGATTCTATAAAGATTCACATAAAAGAGGATTCTATAAAAATTCACATAATAAAGGATTCTAGAAAGATTCTCATAATAGAGGATTCTATAAAGATTCACATAATAAAGGATTCTATAAAGATTCTCATAATAGAGGATTCTATAAAGATTCACATAATAAGGGATTCTATAAAGATTCTCATAATAGAGGATTCTATAAAGATTCACATAACATAGTCACTATAGAGGATGCTATACAAACCACTATAGAGGATGCTATGCAAACGAGAGAAACTTTTTGTCGCAAATTCTATTTTACTACCAAAGCTAATTTAAAATTCATAGTATAGAAAAAGTGACTACAGATAAATCTAGAGTAAGCCATGAAGTTATAAAAAATATGGCAATGCAACTAATGGGAGAATAATATATATGCTATTACAAACCAGAACTGCATTTATTTATTTATTTTTATAATTACCCCCACATAGATAATGTTACTTTTATTTCTGCCTAAAATATTTCAAATCAGTATTTTAGTTCCCATACTTTAATAAAAAATATTTTAAAGTAAAATTACTAAACTGAATGTTGACAAAATATTATGAAAGTTTCTGTAAGGAAACAAATTCTTTTTTTTCGTCAAGCAGCATCAATTTTTTTTATAAAATTACTTTTTATATTATTGAATTGCTTTATATTAGTGCTCAGATAAAGGAAACAAATATTACAGAATTGAGCTACATAACTGAAATAAATTTAAATATAGGCCATTGACATTAATTATCCCGTGTTATCCAACAAATTTGAATCTGATTTTAACCCCAGGAAAAGGCAACCATTTAAAGCTATTTTGATATAATTTTGGGTTTTTTAGATATAAATATTTTCAATATAATTATCTGAATAACACAAAATAACAGCAACAGTACAAATAAAAAACAGAAGCAATCAATTACGATTGTCCAGCAACAAAACATTGGTAAANATTTAAAGCTATTTTGATATAATTTTGGGTTTTTTAGATATAAATATTTTCAATATAATTATCTGAATAACACAAAATAACAGCAACAGTACAAATAAAAAACAGAAGCAATCAATTACGATTGTCCTATGATTGAAGAATTAAGTTTGTGCTGTATATGAATAAAATTAAACAACATTAAAAAAAAACATGAAAAGAGAAACACAAAGATACAGAAGGAAGATAAGTACAAATAAGTTACGAGGAAAAAGGAGAAATTGCAAAATGGATTCAATAAAACAGGATCATGTCAAATAATTGAGTGCTACACTTACGGAACTAAGCTCCACTTCCCATAGCTTTTTTGCTCTTTCCATATCAGAATACCCGTTCCTTCTGAAAGTATCAATGTACTGGTCAAGATGTAATGACCTTAACCATTCTCCAACAGATTCAGGTGCTTGACTCTCACTGATAGGCTTGAGTGCCGGAAGACTGTGACATGATTCCAAGATCTTTTGCCTATGTTCTTTGTTCGTTATATTCATTTCTATGAGGTCATCTTCTTCTAAGATATTACCACCCTAAATAAAGACAATCAGAAATATTTCGGCATTTTTTTAAAAAAAATGTGATTGGAAGTCGTAATATATTTAGGATTATAACGGATATTTTTATTACCAGAAAGTCTATGTCGTCGAAACCGTTGTCCATGAGGTTCTTGGAATAGATAACAAGGTCTAAACTCTTCAGCCATTCTTCAACAGTTGTAAAACTCGATGTGAATGAAGATCGTTGAAATTCTTTAAGAAAATAAATGCAAACACTGTGATCGAAACAGTAAAGAGTAATAATTGTGAAAGATAATTTTAATCAGACTAATAAATTAGACTCGGTCAAAAAAGATAATGTTATATTGTTTAAATTTTTTTAGAAAGAAAATGTAAACACTGTGATTGAAGTAGTAAAGACTAATAATTGTGAAAGATAATTTTAATCAGTCTAATAAATTAGACTCGGCCAAAAAAGATAGTGTTAGATAGCCGAAATTCTTTAGGAAACAAAATGTAAACATTGTGATTGAAATAATAAAGAGTTATAATTGGTAAAGAAAATTTTAATCAGACTAATAAATTAGACTCGGTCAAAAAAGATAGTATTAGATCGTTGAAATTATTTAAGAAACAAAATGTAAACATTGTGATTGAAATAGTAAAGAGTCATAAGCGGAAAAGAAAATTTTAATCAGACTAATAAATTAGACTCGGTCAAAATCGATAATGTTATATGGATAAAATTATTTTAAAACAAAATGTAAACATTGTGATTGAAATAATAAAAAGTCATAATTGTGAAAGATAATTTTAATCAGTCTAATAAATTAGATTCGGTCAAAAAAGATAGTGTTAGATAGCCGAAATTCTTTAGGAAACAAAATGTAAACATTGTGATTGAAATAATAAAAAGTCATAATCGGTAAAGAAAATTTTAATCAGACTAATAAATTAGACTCGGTCAAAAAAGATAGTGCTAAATCGTTGAAATTATAGAAGAAACAAAATGTAAACATTGTAATTGAAATAGTAAAAAGTCCTAATCGTGAAAGAGTTCACAATAGTAGTCGTAATTGTGAAGGATAATTTTAATCAGACTAATTAATTAGACTCGATCAGCAAAAAAAACTAGTCAAATGAATAGTTGAAATTCTTTAAGAAACAATGCGAAACCACTGTGACTGAAATAGTAAAGAGTCATCATTGAGAAAGAGTCATAATAGTAGTCATTATTGTGAAAAATAATTTTAATCAGACAAATTAATTTGACTCTACTAAAAAGATTGTGTTAGAAAATGTTGAAAGCACATTATTTTTCAGCATCACGATGAAATCTACGTTAATATTTTTATTAATACTTTAAAAAAAGTTTGGACAATGTTTAAAAAGGCAGAAAATATATTTTTAAAATTTAAAAAAAATGGTTCTGGGTGAACTACCTGTTGCTCTGAGCAATCTAATTAGCTTCTATGTTTCTTTTTTAATTTTTACTGAGGCTTATATCAGGGATATTTTTGCTCTCTAAAAAGTTCAAAAACTCACTAAAGTTTATACACCCGTTTGCTCAGCAATACAATCAAATAACTCTTACGCCGAGCGATATTGAAGCTAATTGCTTAAATCATGAAGCATAACTAGAGGAGGTTATTTTAAGTATTATAATTTTCTTTTTATTTGATACATTAATATGTAACGCATAAGTAGTCTTTGACTGAATAGATAATTATTATGTCGATGAATTCAGTAAAGTAAAAAATAATACAAAAGAACATAAAAATGGATTTACTTTAAATCTTTTTAATCCTTTTTTTTAACTTTAATCCTTTTCTGGTATCATTATGAGTATTAGCTTCTTGTTATAACTGGGCTTTGAAATTTCTAGTTCCATATTTAATATCTTGCATAAGATGTGCATTTGAAATTTTCGAAGAAAAGTCAAATTCTTGATACACTGTAAAAAATTGCGGGTCAAATTACGGTAAAAATATCGGAGCTCAGGATGCCGATCCATTTTACCGTAAAATCCATTTTTACCCGAACATGTTACGAAATCAAACAAAATCTGATATACCACAATTTTCACAGTAATAATTACCATAAAATCACTGAATCGTTTAACTTAAAAAGTATCACTGTAAAAATTACGGTGTAATATTTTACGGATGACACACTTAAAATGCCGACATTTTTAACCGTAATTTGATTCGGAATTTTTTACAGTGTACACCGCTAAAATTATAGCTTGTAAAGAAAAGAAAATCAGTAACTTAAATTCAATATGTTTTGAAGATACTGAAACAAATTCAAATTTTGTGTATACCACTGACAACATAGTTTGTAACTAAAAATAATTGCAGTTTCTTTAAATGTATTTTACATTCAATAAGCATCGTGAATACTAAAAAATAAACTCATAGTTCGAGTATATTACTGAAAATATAGTTTGTAAAAAATTTTTCCATTAATGTTTGCTTTATTTACATTCTTTGTTTGCAGGTAAATTATCTAAAATAAATACGAAAAATACTTATCTAAAATAAATAACCCAAAGTCCGGCACATTTAAATAATAAATAAATTTAATTGCATTTTTACCTTTTCGTAATCTTGAGAGGGTCCTGGCAAACGTTTCTTCCATGTCTCTCACAAACACGGATTCCGTTGTAGCTGGAGCCTCACCCCAGTCCGAAATTGAAGCCCGGTCATAAGATGTTGACCTAGATACCTGACCACCAGGATCTGAACAAGGACTCTCTCTCCGAAGATTCCTGGAGGATCGTGTTTCGGGAAGGGTGTTCATGCCAAGCATATTGTCATAACTATGTTGTTGCTGTTTTGTTGATTGGCCTTTCAGAGACATCTGGAAGTCGCATGGACAACTCGTTGGGCAAACTGAACCTCTGCATAATCCTATACGAAGAAAAATCAATGAAAAACTAAGAACGTTAATGCCCCAGAATTGTTACTTAATAAGGTATTTGGTAAGGTAAGTTGTGCAATGCTCATGCATCAAGATGTGAATCATTCTGGGATATATTTACCAAATTTCAGAAAGATTATTTTGAAAAATTATAAAATCTCTACAAAAAGTTAAGTTGAAGTAAATTAATAAAATTAGAGGAAATGTAAAAGTCATCAAGAATTATTTTTGCAAAAGTCATTAGAACTGCTTGAATTTTTTTTAAATAAGTTATATACATTTGAAGCCTGCAAACGTGCCATTTCTTAAATTGAGGAATTTCCCTTATATATAAAATTAATATAACAGTTTTCCCATCATTTCGTTCGTCTCTATAGCTTATGAGCACGTTTTATTTATTGAAAGTGTTGCATAAAATATTCAAAAAATTTTAACTTTCGTACAACTTTTTGGAGGAAATATATGTAAATATTTTTAAATTTAACTTTTCTTGAAAAAAAAAGGAAAAGAAAACGAATTTTGTACCAACCTGCAAAGGGATCATCATCTACGATTTCTTCAATATTATCTGTTGAAACTGATTTGTTCTCTTTTCTAAGAGAGACCCTTATGTGTCCTCCAGAATCGATTGTTGCGAACAATTCGTCTTCTGTTAGAGTCTCAATATCTCTAGAAATTCTTTTATTCCTGAATTCCTAAACATAAAAATAAACTCATTCATCCACAAAAATTCAGTGATCAAAAAATTCAGCCATTTTCAGCCTTATAACTACTTTAAGTTGCAAAATTAATATAATTGCTCAATAACAACTTTAAGTTGCTGTGCCCGACTTAGAATAAATATTTTAGTTTGACATTAATTTAATAATAAGTAGGCGTGATAAAATTTGAAGAATTTTGGAAACAAATCATGACATTGCCAATTTATAGTATATATTTTGGTGTTCCATAAACTGAAGAAAAGAAACATCTTGACTAGTTTATTTAAAGCTGTTTCGTTCTTTTTATTTTTTGAGACTCTATACACACGAAATAAAGCATTTTTGCGAAAAAAATATGCTATTTTCATAAGTTGTGAGTTTGCAATAATTATTCGTGAATGTTAAATATATTCGAACTTAGCGAACGCAAGCTATATGATAATTCTGAAAATGGCTTAAAACATCAATCAGAAAATAAACTCCACATTTTTGCATAAATGAAAAGCATTGGTGATCTAATTTTTAAATAATTAAAAAGTTTTTCCAGAGCTACACTATCTGGGTTCATAAAACTTAATAGAAATTGAAAATTACACTGGGAAACAAATTTTATTTTTTATTGCATGAGATTTCGCAGCGCATCTTAGATATTTTCACGTCCCTGATTTCAAATCTGTAATCAATTTCTCTCTTGAACGATACAGTTTTTTTAATGACATTGTTGGGAGAGTAGATATCAACAATGTCAACCTTTATATATGAAAAGGTACACCACGATAGAATCGAGTTAATATGTCTTATATACTAGTGAATTGGAATTATATTTTTGTAGGGGTAGATACACGACAGTTCTCCCCCACCAGAATTATATCTATGATAGAATTCGATGAACGGATACCACTAGTTGATTCATTGCTGTTTTGTGAGAAGCCGGGAGAGCTGTATTAAGATCACCGTACTTTTTGATGATCGTGAGAGCTATATTAAATTCACGGTCGTGGTTGCTCCTGTGTTGTTATTAGCAGTCGAATGCATGCTGGCCTATAATGCGTGTGATCGAGACTGAGTAGCAACAACTCAAGGAGGTGGATACTGTCGCAGTCACAAGGAGCAAGTCAACTGTTCAATGTGGACAATCCATTGAAGTAGGCGTGTTCAAATCGAAGTGGGAGTTTCTGTCAAGGAAGGCGTGTTCACATCACGTTCGAGTCACCAATGTGGGGGAGTGTTGTTATCGACAATGTCAACCTTCATCTATGAAAAGGTACCCCACCGTAGAATCGTGTTAACCTGTCTTATATACTAGTGAATTGGAATTATATTTTTGTAGTGGTAGATACACAGACATTTTTAATCTAGATTTTGGTGAATGTGCAAAAAAAGTATGTTGCATAAAAGTTGCAACAAACTTCCACGGGAGTTAGGTCATATCACCAGAATTAAAAAAGCATAGGAACCCATGTCCGTAGGGGTACTTCTCTAATATGAATTGATTCTTTGTGTATTTCTGAGTAGGTCATAATATTGAGGCGCCATCAGCCGCGTACAGCGACATTTCTGAGCATTGTCTCTATGCAATTTTAATCTTGATTATGTGCTTAAATTCTCCTAAAAGTTTGTCACAGCATTTATGCCACCCCATATGATCTGTAACGTTTTTAAACTTGTACATTTCGACAAAAAACTATAAATGTCATTTAAAGAAATTCTGTAACTTTAGGAGCAAAACTAATTTCAGATTTAAAGTCCCCACTCCCGATTTAGGCAAAATTTAGTGTTTGTATATATGCAACAAAAAATTTCGTTCCCCAATGTTGCTCATTGATTTTGATAATTTTCATATAGGTAGAAAAGTCTTGCCAAATTGGTGATTTTTTTCAAAATTATAATAACTTATTAAATATAAGTGATTGTTCGTTCCGATCCCCACATAATTCCTTGCGACAAGATGGTGTGCATAATTTAAAATTGTAGCTAAGCCTCAAATGTGAGGCCTTTAAAATAGAGCATTTTTTGTTTACTTGGTGAAAAAGCTTAGAAGAAGAAAAAAACTTTTAGCTTAATTAAAAAATAAAATTGATCAAAGGAAATATTATATCTACCCATTTATTGGAACTAAATATGGAATTTATGAACTGAAATTGAAAAAGGCCTTGTACGAGCTTTTTTATAATGGTTTGTCCATCTTTGCCGTTATGTAAGCAAGCTTGCTTTGGATTGAAAATTTATCCATCCAATTCAAACACTGAAGTCGTGTGATCACATGCAATTTAGGTATAAAGCACTTAATCTCATACTAATTAGACTCATACCATTACATAAATAATGAAAAAGAAGGCATTGAACTCAGTAAGATTATTTATTTCAATATCAAAGTATTTTTGCTGTATGCTTTTTTTTAATATTTTTGTTCAAAGCTAAATTTTATATGATTATACTATGTATGATTATCTTTAATACGAAACCCAATATTTTTTTATTTTTTTTTTTTGCATTTAGAGATTTTTATTTATTTATTTAATCATAGTGAACGTTTTTACTAACTTTAAATTAAGTAAAAATATCAGAATTCCAGTTACTAACGTGCAATATTTGTAGTTCGAAGGCCTCACATTATATCCTTGCTTAGAAGATATTTTAAAATACGAAATCAGATGCAAGAACATATTTTCTCTGAAAAAACATAGCTTTTTTTCGACGGATTTAGATCATTGGCCATCAATATAGAAGGCTACGTTAGAAGCAAATCTAAAAAATTTGTTTGAATTGTTGAGTCATATTTGTAGTTCGAATGTCTCATTTTATATCTTTGTGTAGAAGATATCTTTAATTACGAAATCAGATACAAAAACATACTTTCTCTGAATAAACATAGCTTTTTTTCGACGGATTTAGATCATTGACCATCAATATAGAGGGCTAGGTTAGAAGCAAATCTAAAAATATTGTCTTAATTGTTGAGACATATTTGTAGTTCGAAAGCCTCACTTTATATTTTTGTGTAGAGGATATTTTAAATTATGAAATCAGATGCAAAAATGTATTTCCTCTGAACAAACATAGCTTTTTTTTTCGACGGATTTAAATTCTTAGCAATCAAAATATGGAGCTAGGTTAGGAGCAAATCTAAAAGTAATGTCTTAATAGTTGAGTCAGGAGAGCGGTCGTAAGTTTGAGCTTCTTAATATTAGCTTTATTTTTTGTGCATTTCGCTATATCTTTAAGATTATTTAAGCAAATTATAAAATTCTTGTACGAAATTATAAAATACGTCTATACAGAGATAATTTTTTCATTTTTTATTATTTAACTTAAGAATGATTGATATTTTTTTTGAATTGGATAAAAAAAAATTCTAATTTTAGGTGAAATTACCTGAATAATTAGATGTTTAATAAAATTTAAACAAAGTTGTCTGTAGATTTTTATTTTATTTTTTGAACTGATCTAATTCAATTCAATTCTATTTTGGATTATCACATTTAAAATTGCAAAGCTTAAATTGAGTTGCAAAATAAATTAAATAAATAAATAGACCGATGAAAAAAAAAATTTTTTTTTTTACATAGAATTACCTTTACATAACTTTACGCAAATAAGTATCATAATTGAGGTTAAAATATTTTGATACGCTTTAATAGTTTTAGAGATATTTTTATTTTATAACTGTCTTTGAACAGCCGATCCAAATGTGAGTTTGAAGCTACCAATGTTCAACTCACTAACCTTGTAATTTCGAACCTGATCCAGTAGACAAGGGACTTCTGAATCAAGTGTTGGGATAAATTTTGCCTTTGTGGAGGACTTTTTGATGGAACTAACCCGCATTTGCGTTACATGGAGAGGAAATCCACGAAAACCTGATACGGTTAGCCAGACGGCAAGGGGACTCTAACCCATGATCCGTTTACCACTGAGGATATTTCTACGTCAGTACTGTGGTCGGTACGAGCCGGGGGTAGAATATTTATCAAGCGGCCATAGCTAGGATTCGAACCCGGTTCACCTCATTGGGAGGTGAACTCTCAATCCCCTAAGCCACTGTAGCTGGCGTATAAGAGATAAAAAATATCAACCATTCATGAACACTTATCGTATGATGATCTACAGATTTTAATGTAATATATTTCAAGCATGTAGAGCAATACATTTGTTTGTAACAAATAAGCTTTTTTCAAAATAATCAAAATGTTATCCTATCTTTGATGATGGTAATGATAAAGCAACCTTGTCTGGTAACAAAATAAAATGTAAAAATAAAGCAAATCTTTCATTCTACATTGTGAATTGTAAAGCAAACCCCTCAGAGAGTAAAAACTAAATTCAGTTGGAAAAAAAAGGCATGTTCATTCAGAGGAAGTACGTTTTTGTTCCTAGAAGCTTTATTTTATATATATATATAAAAAAAAAAAACAATTAACAATCCTCAATTAAAACAGTATGCTCATGCTATGTAAAAGCATGAAGGTGTAAAGAGATTTATAATAATTTTTTTTATATCGAAAATAAATTATTTTTTCCTTAATCTGGGATTAACGAAAAGATATCGTGGACCTAAGCGTTGTAGGTAAGAAAATAATTGACTCATTTAATTACATTATTTGAGTGGAAAAAAAAGGCTGCAGATTTTTATGAAAAATTATTTTCTGAATCCATCCATAATCCGCATTTTCCAGACCCACCCACAGTNTTTTTTTTTTTTGCATTTAGAGATTTTTATTTATTTATTTAATCATAGTGAACGTTTTTACTAACTTTAAATTAAGTAAAATATCAGAATTCCAGTTACTAACGTGCAATATTTGTAGTTCGAAAGCCTCGAATTATATCTTTGTGCAGAAGATATTTTTAATTACGAAATCAGATGCAATAACATATTTTCTCTGAATAAACATAGCTTTTTTTCGACGGATTTAGATCATTGGCCATCAATATAGAGGTCTAGGTTAGAAGCAAATCTAAAAATATTGTCGGAATTGTTGAGTCATATTTGT